AACCCTCATTCTCTGGCCACACTGGCTGTAAGGCCCTGACTCAAAGCCTTGGTAGAAGCATTTCAACAGGTAGGGACTCACAGTGTGTGCATGGTTTGGCATAAAGGATGCTCCCCAAACATAGTCATGTAGCTGGCATGCAGTTCTAATAGGCATACACAAGGACCTTGTTTCAAAAGCTATTCCTTTATTCACAGATTTGTGAGTATACACTAAGCTTTTGTGAAAAATAATTTTTCAGAGCGTTGTTTATCATAGCAGCTGGAAGCCTTCTGTATTGTTTTATTGCTTATGCCCAGTGAGAGAATAGGTATGCTATCAGAACTACAAAATTTCTATGCATTGCCCAAGACTTTCATTTACAATAAGGAGCGCACACAATGCCATACCAAAGTGAGTTTATTGACATTCCTTGATAGTGGTATGATGGAAGAGAAAGCGTGGCCTGAGTATCACATGACATTTCTTTCGTCAGTGTAGGCAAAATCAGCCCAACCACGTGGACTTCTTCTGCTGTTTACCAGAACGAAGACTAGTAACAAAGTTATTGTAGACATTTCCTTAGATAACTTGAAAGCTGCAGGAAGTAGGTTAATGGAATAATATTTACTCTATATACTACCTCTAGGCACCTGTTATTTTACTAGAACAAAGGGACTACATGTCACTAACAGGAAAAGAACACTTTCTCTTTTGGACCTCATGATTGCTGGAACATCTATTCCAGATTTTTATGATATCGTATTGCAGTAATTTTAATAATGAACATGGAAGTACATAATATTACTAATAATAAAGCACCACATTTGTTAAGTAAAGTTCTAGCTACTTTCATTTGAAAGTGTTTCATCTTGACTGGGAAAACATTTGTGGCAATTGAGAAATTTTCTGAACCCAAATTGTGGACATAGGGTTTGACACATGGACTGACAAGTAGCTGGAACGTTAGAAATGTCCTGGGAAAGCCAGATCATTAGCTTGCCACACAAATATTGACAAAGGATGTATTGTTGTGTTTTAAAAAACAAACATTTAGATCTTGCATATTTAAAACCTGTCAAAATGATCGCATCTTCCTTTCTTAGTTTTTCTCACCATCCTCCAAATAAGTAATGGTTGTAAGAACATTTTCACACCATTGACACATATACACAGGAATTTCCAAAGAATTCAGTAGTTTTTGAGTATTTCTGGCCCCACAGAGTCAACTTTTACTTTTATAATGATCATAAAATAAAATGACAGAATGTTTGTGATGGCAATGAAATAAATCATTGTTACAGTAAATATTAATAGAATTTAATAAGTATTTTTTGAAATTATACCTTATACATTTTATTTATTGTTCTTGTTTTAGAAACTAGTTTTAGATTAATCATGGCTTATTTAAGTAATTAAATTGGTAATTTGCATCTGTGGAGAAAACTCATGCTTTAAAATAAAGCCTTACAAATAGATCTCTTGACTTACCTATTAAATTATATGATTTGGGGTAGTTTATGCTTCAACCCCATGAAATTAATGGAATAATTTAATTCTACAGTTGTTCCATATGAGGGGCCTTCAAAAAGTTTATGGAAAACAGAATTAAAACATAATGGAATGTTTCCGTAACTGTTTGATGCTTCCTAGTGTGTGTGTGGAGTCCTGGTGTGGCTCTGTGGGTTAATGCGCTGGACTGCAAAGCTGGTTTGAATTGCAAGGTCGGTGGTTCAAGTTCACCAGTCACTCCTAGGAAACCCATGGGTTTTCTAAGATATAGGTATTCCTAAGATATTTAGTTCCTTTGGCTGTGGGTTGGAATGGACTCAGTGGCACTTAACAACAAGTGTGTGTGGACTCCTGGTGTGGGGCTGTAGGATCAGCACTAGACTGGTCGGAAGTTCAAACCTACCAGTCACTCCTTGGAAAGCCTGTCACTATGAGCCAGAATCGACTTGATGGCACTCAACAACCACAGTGTGTATATAAGGGAGTGTAGTGGTTCCACAGGCTAAACACTGGATTATGAATGACAAGGTCAGTGGTTCGAGCTCACCAGCTGCTCCACAGGAGGAAGATGAGGCTTTCTGCTCCTGAAAAGATTGAAAAGCCTTGTAAATTCTATACAAGGTGGCTGTGAGTTGGAACAGACTCGATGGCATTTAACTACAACAGTGTGTATACATGTACACACACACACACATATAAAAGTAACTGATGGAAACCAGTTTGGTTGTAGAAACAATAAGAATCTTTTCATACCATCTTTGCCCATCTCTTTGTTTTCCTACCTTGGTGATGGTTATGCACCGTGGAGTCAGTTCTGACTCATATCCACCTTGTACAGGGTTTCCAATGCTGTAAATCTTTATGGGAGCAGACTGCCTCATCTTTCTCCTGAGGAACAGCTGGTAATTTTTAACTGCTGAACTTGAGGTTAGCAACCCGATTCATAATCACTACACTATCAGAATTCTTTTTTCCTACCTTAGGAATTCTATAAAGGCTGTAATGGAATGTTGTGGTCCCATTAAGCAAGGTTGCGTTCTTTCAGCTGACTTTGACACCAGCGTTTTTCATGGACTTGTGATATATTACTACTTCTGTTAAGCTGTGTAGGGTATAAGAAGAGTCTTGGCATCCAGGAAGGAGATAAGGGAAAGTTAGCTGAAAAACCATTTCCGTCCAAGTTATATAGGTATTCCTAAGATATTTAGTTCCTTTGGCATATAGGTAAATAAAAAAGCCAACCCATTGTCAGGTTGATTCTGACTCATGGAGACTCCATGAGAAATAGAAGGATGTATTGGAACTACAGAGAAATAAATCATCAGGTCTGCCTTCCACTGCCTCTGAGTGGGTTTGAACCACCAACATTTCTGTTGGTAGTTGAGCGCAAACCGTCCTCACCACCCATCGACTTCCCTAATACTTAACCCACTGCATGACCAGGTCTCCTTCATAGGTAGAATAAAAAACTCAAAAACAAATCCACTGCCACCAAGTAGATTCCAATGCACAGTAGCTCTGTATAGGATTGCTAAAGCTGTAAATCTTGACAAGATTCCTGCTGTGGCGCTGTAGGATCAGCACCGAACGGCAAGACCACTGGTTCAAACTCACCAGCCGCTCCTCAGAAACTCTGTATAGTGTCACTGAGTGTTGGAACTGACTTAACAGCACTTTACAACAACAACAAAATTTTTATAGGCACAGAAAGCCTTATATTTTGCCCACAGAGCAACTTTACTACTGGCTGCTTTGAACTTTGTGGCTACAAGTCAGACTGCTAAGTTCAAGGTCATTGTAAATGGGCATTGTAAATAATTTCTATTAAAAAGAACATTTCATTTGGGAGTTTGTTGTTGTATTGTCGTTAAGTGCCATAAATTCCAGTCTAACTCAGAGTATCAGGTTTCTGAGGAATGGCTGGTGGGTTTGAACCATCAACCTTGTGGTTAGCAGTCCAGTGTTTATCCTAGAGAGTGTAGAGAACACAAATAATTAGCTGTCGAAACACAAACTGGTGTGATGAACACAGCTGTGACTTCACACAAAGCTAACGTCCTCTTAGATTTAACCCACATTCCATCCTACCTCTTTGTCTATGGAAAACAACAATATGGTATTTAATGAGTGGGTCTTCATTAGCTGCTCTTTGCTCAGTGAAGAAAAACACTTTGATTTACGACATAGTTCAGACAACATGGACAACCAGGTTAAAAAAAATAGCAAATGACTATTATGGTTGGGTTGCTTTCAATTGTAACCAAGAGGTTAGGCTATCTTTGGAACCTGCAACTGTTTTCTGAAAACACTAAGTATTTCTAAGATTTTTATCAAATGCTAAAAGAAACTGGATATTTATTTTCACACAAATCCATGTGACTTTGGAGTGTTCGGTTTCTGCTCTAGAGAGATTGCTACGGATGAAATACAAGATTGTCCTTGATTCCTAACAAGCACCGTCATTCTTGCAGTTTTGTACTTAGTGTGGTCCCCATGGACAGTCAGATGGAAAGGTATTTAAACACCAGAATTCAAAAGCATATACACATAAAATACAATGTTAAAGTTAAAAACAATGTGTGCCAATCCTGTAATACCTGCATCTAACAGAATCACGAGATTACCTATACCTTTGTTTTTCCCTTTGTGAGAGAATTGTAGCTAGATTAAAACAAAACAAAGCAGTACAGAACTCAGGTATTCAAACCAATGGAATATGTCCTTCTTCCCTTTCTCCTGTTTGCTTCATCACGTTCTATATAACTCGGTGGGATGGAGGCCTTGTCCTTTATGTTACAGCATGAGGTTTTCTTCATGGGCATGTGCACAGATTTGTGCTCCTTGTGTGGTGAGTATCCACTGGGGATGCTCCTCCTTCTAGACTTCTTTGAACTCATGTTGAGTACACACGTCCCGCAACCACTGGGCAGCTCTTATCCACATCAGTAGCAGCTATCTTGCTTGCCATCAATATTTGTTGAAAGTGTCATATTTGCACCATGTGTCTAGGCTTGTTCCAGCCAATGGGACTGATGCCACATATGAAACATGAGTTGAATGTATAAAAATTTCGGTTTTGCCACTGTTGTCCTTTGGGTGGATGGTATGCATGAGAGTAGAGTGAGAGGAAGAAAAAAAACAAAAAGATTTGATCAGCTCCTAAAGTCAGGAATTGGTTGTTAGAAATCATAAAAAATAGTGGTTCTGCTCAGAAGACACGGGCATAGAAAAGCTTGGAATGCTTAATGCTCAAAATTCCCCTTAAATAATATAAATGGAAGTAAACATTGATTACCATTTGGTCAGGTGTAGCATAACTTAAATTCATATTTCATTGTTAGTAATGGAGGTATGTGGAGATATACACAGACCTTGAGACAGCTGTTTTTCTTTTGCTTTTAAGATTGCATACAGGCTAGCAGTTCATTGAAGACGAAGGAGAGAAGCCTGAAGGCTAGGTCTTAGAAGAAGGCAGTTGTTCATGCACAGCTTTTGTCAATCCTGATTTGGTTGAAAAACAAAAGTCATGGAATACCAAAATCAAAGAGTTGATTAAGGGAAGGGAGAATCATCCCAGAAAGGTAGATGTTACTGGCCTGAAAACCATCAGACCCTCGAGTTTATATTTCCTCACTCAAGTCCAAAGGTGCTGGTTTCTTCAACTGCTGTTAACAGCTTCTCATATAACATGGAGTATGAAGGATATGGAGGAAGATCCAAACGGTTGAAGCATGTGTGTGCCCTGAATGGGAGAGAAAAGATTAGTGAAGTTGTTTGTTACAAAGATGCATTGTGTTTGGGTGTATCTCTGACTCTGTCTGAAGTTGTGAACCAGAGTGGAGTGGAACTCCCACTCAGGAACACCATAAAGCACGGCAAACTAACAGCTACAGCCTTAGAGACAAGCATAGATCAGTTGGAGAGAGTGGAATAACTAGAAGTGGGTGGCTCCCATTTATCAAACAAACCCCTTTTGAGGTATGGTACCCACAACTAGGAGTCCTGGTGGGGCATTGTGGGTAAATGCGCTGGGCTGAAAAGTTGGTTTGAACTGCAACGTCAGCAGTTCAAGCTCACAGGCCACTCCTAACAACAACCCACAACTAACCAACCAACTTCAACTCATGGCAACCCCAGCTGCATTCGAGTGGAATTGTTCTACACAAGATTTTCAATGGCAATTTTTCAGAAATAGATTTCTGAATAGAAATTTCTTTCTGAAGTGTCTTGGGTTGACTTGAATCTCCAACCTTTCAGTGAGCAGTTGAGTCCGGTCTGTACAGTAATCGTCTGTACCACCCAGGAACATCAGCTGCATACTAGCAAACCAATGATAAACTCTATGATCTATGTCTTATTTCACAATTCAGATTTGCCAGAGATGCAGGCGGGCAACATTAATTTGTCTATGAGATTCACATTCCCCATGTTCCTTGCCCAGTTCTGATTTCTGAGATTTGGTAAAGGTGTCAGCAGAAGCCCCAGAATTGTGGGGTCCAGTTCTTCATTTCAGGCAGGTGGGCCTGAAAGCACCTGCATCTCATTCTGCAACTCAGAACATGCATGCCCAGAAACAGAAGTACTATGCTTCCAAGAAAAGGTGAGCTTCCTGGTAGCCCCATATGGAAATGCCAAGAGAACGCTTGTGCACCTGCCGTGGCTCTGCCTGATTTCTTATTCTGCTGGTGTCTGGCTTAGACAGCACCCATAGTCCTCCCTGCACCCACAGTTAAAGCAGAACAAGGGCACCGCACTATCCTGAATCATAGCAACCCTTATAGGTTTTTGGAGGAGTGGCTGGTGAGTTTGAACCAACGATCTTGCAGTTCAAACTGACCTGTGAGCCAGTGCTTAGCCTACAGTGCCACACCACAGTGCACCTGATATGTCATTTCTTGTGGCTTAGACAGTGCCTGCGAAGTGGTGTGAGAGGCTGGAGAAAGCATGGAACCAGGGGCTCAAGACTTCTCTTCTCATTGCACTTGCTTGCTTTATGATCTTGGGAAAGTTTCAGAGCCACAGTACTCTCCCTTGTAAAATGGGGCTAATGATACACGCTCTGTTCACCTCAAAAGACTGTGGTAACATCAATAATGAATCATTGCTCAAGGTAAGAGTCTCTGAATGATGCAGCCATGACTGCAATAATGCTTTAAGAACAATGTCACACTCATGGTGACTTTAGACCCCCATGTGTTTTAATCGGCAGACAATGACTATCATTTCAAATGGTATTTGAAAGTCCTCACAGATCATTTTAATTGTACCATGTTCAATTTTATTTTGTTGACTCTATCCCAGGGTTCCAGCATTTGGAGATAATTTTCTACTTGGATTGTATCCCACTAAACTATATTACATCTCCTTCTAATTTGCTCATATACACATTTGAGCTCCGCGCCTCCTCTGTATTTTCTAAGTTACAGATTAAAATGTTAAACAATACAGTGCCAGAGACAGTCTTGTTCCTGTGGTGGTGGTGGGTGTATGCTGTGGAGTCAGTTCCAACTCACAGCAACTCTGTACAGAGTTTCCAAGGCTGTCAATCTTTGTGGGAGCAGAAAGCCTCTTCTTTCTCTCATGGAGCAACTGGTAGATTCGAACTCCTGACCTGCAGTTAGCAGCCCAACTCATAATCCACTATGCTACCAGGGCTCCTTCAACAGACCTTTAAGGATGGTTGAAAAGAAACACACAGAACCCTCATCTGTTTGGAAAAACAGTTTGGTGGTTCCTCAAAAAGTTAAGAATAGACTTGTCCTATGACCCTAAAATCTCACTCATCAGTATTTACTCAGAATTAGTGGCAACAGGTATGGAAACAGAAACCTCTATACCGATGCCCATTGTAGTACTATTCACTATAATCAAAAGATTCAAACAATTTAAATGTCTGTGAACAGATGGGTGAATAAACAAAATGTTGTATATACATACGATGGGATTCTCCAACATGGATGAACCTTGGAAACACTATACTGAGTGAAATACATGTCAGTCAGTCACAAAAGGATGAGTCTGTACAACATGACACTGGTTTATACATGTGAAACATGTTGAATTGGAAAATGTCTTGTTAGGTATATATTTTTACCACACTAAAGCAAACAAAATAAGAGGCAACCATCACTGCTCTTTAAGATTGGTTGTTTTGTAAGCTGGGTCTTCCCTTCCAATGTCTAACTTTGATGGCCTTTTCAGACAGGTTCTTGCTTTCACCACTGCTGAATCTACTCTCTTTAAAGTTTGCTAATAACTACTTGATCCCCAAATCTAGAGACTCATTTTCAAGTATCAGCCTTCTCAAGCTTTTTAAAAGCATGATGAGTTTTTCCCTTCTTAGCTTCTCTACAGCTTCTCATTGGCTGCCAGTTTATCTTCTAGCTTCCTGATGGCTCCCAAAGTATCCTTTTAGGTCCTCTTTAGCTCTAAAGCCAATGAATTAATGACACTACTGCTATTTTGGATCAGGTAATTCTTCATTGTGGGGGCTGTCCTGACACTTTAGGAATTCATCAGCAACCCTGATTTCCACCCACTAGTTGCCCCCACCCTGAGTTGTAACAACCAAAAATGTCTTCAGAGATTGTTCCCCTAGGGGATAGGGTGAAAATCATCCTATCTCAAGAATCATTGGTCTAGAGAAAGCCAATTACAAACTTGACCATGCCTGCAACTCCACCTTGAGCTCAGGTGGCATTGGCAAGGTGTAAACTTAGAGGGTGCTTAAACTGGCTCTGACTCATAGGCCATTCTCCTGGGTCTCTGCCTAAGGTTCTAGCCTCTCCTTTATTGTCATCTTCCTCTAGCATTGTGCTCTTTCTCCTTGGAACTAGCCTTCATACTTGTCTTTCCTTCCCACCTTTCTTCTGTCCCCTCTAGAACACTCATTCCACAGTGAGCAAACTCTCCCACCTCCTTAACCTATGTGGCCTCCATGTCCCTGCCTCCCTGTCTCTGGTCCTCATGAGTGGAGTCTGCCAAATGATCTACACTGCCACACTCAGGAACGCGGTCAAGCACTTTGCTCACTCCCTGCTAGCACTGCTTTCCATTTTTGATCCAAAATTTATGTTCTTTTCAGTCTCATGTCATTTGCATAATATTTTGTTAGGCTCCAGGTTTTGCCTGCATTTCATTTTTCTGAAACAGAATAGGAAATAGAGGGTTTGTAGGCTGTTCTGAGGAACTATGTTCTCTCGCTCTCACATGAATAAGTGTGTATGTAAAGGGTATTTCTTTCCGTGAGCTCAGATTTAAAACATTAAAAATCAGTGACTTAGTTACACATTCCTTTCCTGCTGGCCTTCCGGATAATTACATCTGACTCTTGGCTTAAAACTTCCTTTCCATTTCAGGTCTTCCCACCAGATCACGTAGCATCTAAGTCCACATGGATGCCCCTTTCAACACCCTAGCTTTCTGATTCCTTGATGTTCCCAACCTAGTAACTGTTCCATCTCTAGTTAAGGTTGTTGTTGTTGTTATGTGCCGTGGAGTTGATTCCGACTCATAGCAACCCTGTACAGGGTTTCGGAGGCTGTAAATCTTTACAGGAGCAGAAAGCCTCATCTTTCTCCAGCGGAACAGCTGGTAGTTTCTAACTGCTGACCCTAAGGTTTGCAGCCCGATTCGTAACCACTACGCTACCAGAGCTCAGTCTATGGAATTTCCCCACCAGGAAATGCAAAATGATACCCTAGAAAGCTCTGCTTCTCAAAGTTGTTTTTCCTAACTTTCATACAATTTTTATAAGGGAAGGACTTGAATTGGTGTGAAGGATTTATTTAGCTTAAGTGATGAGCCAGGTTTTGCTGTACCATTATTTGGCACTTTACCTGGAAGGCCAATTGCTTTTTGTTCTCTAGAGTGAAAGTCTGAGGAAGTGCTCAAGAGTATGTGGGCAGTGCACATGAGGCTCCCAAACTTTGGGAGACCTTGGTCATCCTGCCAGCATCTAGGCCTTCCCTACCACCATTTTCAGTGGACCCAACATCTAGGTTTCCTGGCCATGTGGCCTGACCAAACATGTGGCCTGACCGCCGACTATTCTTGGCAGTGGGAGATTTCCTCTGCATACACAGGTGACACTTTTCAGGTTCTTGAATCAGAACACACATGAAAACGACAGACCCAGGGGGACCATCCGATATCACTTTCACCATCCTCTCACAGGCATCCTGGCACTAGCTCCTTGGGACCCTCCTGGCCCAGGGTGGAGTCCCCACTTTTCTAAGGAACCCTCTTTTGACTGTGCAAGTAGCAGTCTTTTTAGGGGTGTCTTGACCCTGACATGAAGAACTTGCATGGGTTTATAGTATGAGAGGGTTTCAAAAAGTTCATGGAAAAATTCCATTATCTTTCAATTCTGTTTTACTACAAACTTTTTTAACCCTCCTTGATACTACTGTATACCTCAAAGCTTCCCAAAGCAAGTGTGTCAGCTAGAGATTGAAATCCCAAATGACGAAAGCAATGTCTCCCATTTCTGAAAGAATAAAGTAGAGATTCCTTAGCCAGGCATTTTCTGGGTGGACCCCAGAGAACCTTTCTCAACTGCATCCCCTGTGGTACTGCTCTGGGCAGCTCGGCCTCAGGAAGGCTGAGTGCCCTTCTTAAACTCCACGTCTTCTATGAGGATGTCATGGGACTGAGCAGTGGTTTGTTCTATTGTACTAAGTATTGCTATGAGTCAGAAGTTTCTCGACAGCACCTAAGCAGAGCAACAACCTGAACAAACACATGCTGGCCATTTCCAGTCCCAAGGCGATTGCTTAGGATGCTTCTTCAGCCTAGAAGCCCCTTTCCCTATTCCTGACTTCCCAATTCTAACTTAAATGTCAGCTTCTTGGTGGCGTCTGCATCTTCTTTGGTCAACTGATTCAGGATTAGGTCTGTAATTGTCATCTTCACAGCAAGTTTCTTGTCTGACGTCTACCTCATTTTGTGATTAGTTATATTATATACAGCTGTGTGCCTCCCTTGATTGTAAACTCCTGTGGGCAGGTATGGGAGCTCTGGCAGCCCAGTGGGCTGTGCACTGAGCTGGTAACTGCAAGGTCAGCAGTTTTAGCCCACCAGCTCTTCTCGGAAACCCAATTCAGGGTGGCGATGAGTCGGTCTGTAGAAGAATCGATGCATTTGAGTTATGGTTTGGAGAATAAGGAAAATACCATGGACTGGCAAAACAGCAAACAGATGTGTGTTGGAAGAAGTGCAGCCAGCATTCTTCTTGGAAGTCACGATGGCCAGAATTTGTTTCTCATACTTTGGACATATTGTCAGGAGGAACCAGCCACTGGAGAGGGATATCATGTTATTTAGTAAAGCAAAGGTTGGAGAAAAAGAGGAAGACCCCTAACAAGATGGATTGGCACAGAAGTGATTGTGAGGTTGGAACAGGACTGGGCAGTAGTTCATTCTGTTGTGTATAGGGTTACTATGAGTCGCAGTTGACTCAATGACACCTAGTAACAACATGAGTCAGAATTGACTTGAGGGCATTTACCAGCCACAACAACATGGGCAGATATATTGTTGTATGCCACCCCTCCTCAAGGGTTCCACTATGTCGCAGTTGTTGTTTGTTGTTGTTGATAAGTGCCATCGAGTCACTGCTATCAAATCAGCCCCTGACTTGTGGTAACTCCATGTGCAATGAAATAAAATGCTGCCTGGTCCTGGGCCATCCCCAAGATTGGTTGAGGGATTGGACCACTGCAATCCCCAGGGATTTCATTGGCTGATGTTTGCAGGTGTACTTCCAGGCCCTTATTCCTAGTCTGTCTTGGTCTAGAATCTCTGTTCATACCTGTTCTGCATCATAGCAACATACAAGCCTGCACTGACATTGAGGTGCATTGGCTGGGAATCGAACCTAGGTCTCCTGAATGGAAGGTAAGAATTCTACCACATAACCACCACTGTGCTCATGCACACATTACAGAGGGAGGCTGTCATCAAATGATGACTCAAGTAACATCTCTCTAAAATAAAAGCAGAGTTCTTCCAACTAGCCTCATTCTCTAAATTGCTTATTAAAGTAGATAAGTGAAAATTTGCCTTTGGTCTTATTTTCTGTCCAGACTTAATTCAATAGGTTGAGCCATTAATGGAAATATGTGCACACACCTTGACCTTTGAACTTGAAGTTGCTGGATTTGTGGTGAAGTCAGGTTGAAAACCACACAGGGCTTTAGCTCATATTGAACAACTGGGCTTACACTTGCTCATCTACACTGTATATCAAGGGAATTGTCTTAGGACTCTGGGAAGTCTGGGGATAACTTACAGTTCAGTAGATCCTTCTGCAATAGGGAAATAGCAAAGATACTTGGGTGACCATGTAAAAATAAACTGAATCAAATCGAAAATATTTTATAATTAAAATATTGTTGTTAATTTGTTAAGTGCCATCAAGTTGAGTCCGACTCATAGTGACTCTGTATAGGATTTCCAAGGAGTAACTGGTGGGTTCAAACCATTGACCTTGTGGTTAACAGTCCAGTGCTTATCCTACAGGGCCACACTAGGGCTCCACAAATTAGAAAATAGCATAATGAAAAATAACAATTTTTTCCCTTCTGCTTACTGAAGTCATATTTATCACTCCATTACCTACACAGATGAATGTTCTTGCTATTTTTGTTGTTAAGTGCTGTCAAGTTGGTTCCGACTCACAGCAACCCTGTGTAGAGTTTCTGAGGAGCAGCTGGTGGGTTTGAATTGCCGACCTTGTGCTTTACAGGCTAGTGTTAATCCCACAGCGCCACACCAGGATGTACTATTACATTACCTACTCATAAGAATCTCCTTTGTTGTTGTTGTTGTTAAGTGCCGTTGAGTCAGTTTTGACCCATAGCGACCCTGTACAGGGTTTCCGAGGCTGTAAATCTTTACGGGAGTAGAAAGCCTCATCTTTCTCCCCCGGAGCAGCTGGCAGTTTCGAACCGCTGACCTTAAGGTTCACAGCCCGATTCGTAACCACTACGCTACCAGAGCTCCTTTAAGAATCTCCTTAGTATTCATTATTTCACTAAACAGGAGTCCTGGGCGGAGCAAACGTTTAAATGCTCAACTACTATGGAACACAGCTCTCTTCTACAAACAAGGGGCCCTGGTGTGGCACTAAAGGATAAGCACTAGATCTCAAGGCTAGTTTGCACTGCAAGGTTGGAGGTTCAAACTCACCAGCTGCTCCTTGCAAACCCTATACAGGGTTGCTATGAGTCAGAATTGATTTGACCATTGCTTCCTCGCAAGGCCGCGAAGCCTTCATAGGGCACTTAACAAAAAACAATAGGAGTCCGTGGGAGGAGCAAAAGGTTAAGTACTCAACTACTAGTCAAAAGGTTGAAAAACTTATGGAACATGGCTTTAACTCCCCAAACATAGGGTCCACATTAGTTAGATTCAACTCAATGGCAAATAATCATGACAGTCATTTTACCGATCAGGAAAATAGCACAGAAAGACCCAATAAGGGCTGGGATTAAAATTTGAAGAATTCATTCTGTTGTATTGCCTGAAGCCCCGTTGCTTCTTTTATTAATTTATTTAAATTGTGAATTGAGTGATAGTTTACATGAGAGAACATCAGTTTTACACTCATCGTTCCATTGCAATGATTACAATCTCCATCATGCATCATCATTCAACAGTATTTGTTTGTATTCCCTCTTTTTTGTTTGTTTGTTTGTTTTAGGTGGGAGGATGTACACAAAAACACTCAGGAATATATAATTATTTAAACAACCAAAGGGCACATTCTGCAAGCCTGCCTCCTGGCCTCAGCACACAGCCTTTCTCTTTCCACAAGTCTATAGTCCTCAGCTGCTCTCTCTCGCCATGTCCTCATCTCAGCCCCATTACCTCTTCTTCCATGTCTACCCTGCAATTTCTTGGTTGCTTACTATATGGAAGTCACTGTAAAGATACAGAGATACATGCAGTTTCATCCTCACACATTCCAAAATGTACTGAGAAAATGACATCATGTATATGAATAATTATTCTATTAAGCATCAAGTAATATGCTATAGGAGATATACAGAAATGGTGCTAGAAAAGTTTCTTTGGGCTTCCAGTATTTTTCCACTAATGTCTTTCTTCCATCACCTCTGGTGGGACATTTCTCTTTTAAGTTGGGCTATATGAATACAAGACCGTAGAGCTTACCATGACTGACACATAAACAAAAATACTATAGCACAGCTACTGTAATCATCAAATCATCGTGAAGAACATGGTTCCATTGCAACTCCCAGAGAAGGCCCACCAACAACTTTCATTAATAATTCAAATAACAATTCTTTGGGTGACAGAAAACTATTTCATCCCAAAGGATGACCATACAAACTCAGATTGTAAAATATACCTAGCCATGTTCAATGGGCTTCCTGAAGGTTGGCATAGGTTCTATACCTGGGGAGAGATGTGATTTTCCCCCATTTCTCTATGCAGAACCGCCGAAGCCCATTGCTTCCTCGCAGTGCTGCGAAGCCTTCATAGGGCACACTTGATGTTCCTGTGACAAACTGAAGCAATCTTAGTCTCTGCTCATTATTGAACCTCTCCACCGCAGCCCAGAACCAACGGATCACAAGATGTCCATCATGATAACCTAAGTAGAACAAAGGGAGGGAAAATGGGAGAAGGTGAAGAGAGGAGAAGGACAGAGAGGGGGAGGGTAATGAAATACACATCAGGTGTGCTAAGAATGAACAGCTGCTTTTGATCTGTGTAATGATAGCCTTTGCTGTTAGCTGCTGTAGAGTCCACCCCCAACTCATGGTGACCTCATTAACAATGGGTTTGGACCACTGTGATCCATAGGCTTTTAAGTGGTTGATTTTTAGGAAGAGATTGCCAGGTCCTTCATCTAAAGCCTCTAGATAGCTCAAACCTCCAACTTTTTGTTAATTGAGCAAAACCTAGGGACTCCAATGACGTTCGTTAGAAAGATATAAAACAATCTGTGCATCCAGGTCAAGCTTTTGTTCTTCTAGGTCAAGTTCGCTAACCATAAGGTTGGCGGTTCAAACCCACCAGACACTCCTAGGAAACCCCATACAGGGTCTCTATAAGTTGGAATAGACTCAATGGTACTTACCAACAACAACATGGGATGTGTGGCTTCCTCCATGCCCTAAGACTTGAAGAACTAAATGTTGCCTGGATAATGTTATCTACATTTTGATCAAAGGTTCTATATAGAAGAATCCTGATCAAAATGTGGGAAATGGAGAACAGAATTTTAAATTCTCATGGACTCCAGAATTTTTAAAGGCAAGGGTGAGCCCCTGAAACAATTATGTCGAGTTAATACTTTAAACTAGTGCCAAAAATATCCCCTGAAGTCTGTTTAAAGTCAAACAATGGTTTACCTTACCTAGTAAAAAATGTCTGCTCTGAGTATTATACTTTTTTACAAACTACCTATATGGGATCAAAGTGGTAGCAGCAACTCAAAAGATGAGACAGGAGCCTAGGGGACAGTGAGTTTTCATTAATAGGGGAGGTGAAGTGAGAATGTTTCCACAGCTCACAGAATGCAATCAGTATCACTGAATTGTATATATAACACGGTTGAATTGTTACACCGCAACAAAAAGAAAGAAAGCAAAACTCTATGGGGTGGGGAAGAGAGAGAGAAAAAATAGTGTTTCAGGAAATTTAGTTTCACACTTCACAAGGTGAATACGGTGATGGTGGTGGTTGTGTGCCATCCATCAAGTTCATTCCAACTCACAGCATCCCTGTATAAAGTTTCAGAGGCTGTAAATTTTTATAGGAGCAGAAAGCCTCATCTTTCTCCCATGGAGCATCTGGTGGGCTTGAACTGCTGACATTGCAACTAGCAGCCCACTACATAACACACTAAGCCACTGTTGTTGTTGTTGAGAAGTGCCGTCATGTTGATTCAGACCCATAGCAACCCTGTATAGGGTTTCTAAGGAGCTGCTGGTGGGTTTGAACCACTGACCTTGCAGTTAGGATTTCAGTGATTCTCCTACAGCACCACACCAGGACTCCATTATACTCCTTGAATAGCTATGAGGAAGTTAGAAATGATTTCAAAGACCACAGTTAGAAGCATGTTCAAGAAAGCCAGGATTGAGATGAAGAGGGTTCCAATGAGAGAAGAAGCAGGCTAGCCAAGGATGGCCCATGGCGGGCCTGCTCTCTGTAACATTCTTACACTGAGTTAGACCAGAGACTACCAACTGGAGGGAACTGAGGGAAAGTTCTTGTTGGATTTGGGGGACAGCACACATATTGAAGTAAGGCCAAGTTCACAATGATCTTTAGTAAGTGATGAATTATATTTGTGATAGTTGCAGCCTTCACCAGGTCTGCGAGCTCACCTCCCCGGTACTCCGTGTTGTTCCGCCAGTCGTTGAGGTCTATTTCTGCAGTCCCAGCTATCACCAGCTCTAGCTCGCGGGCATCAAATACAGAGACAAGCCTGGAGTCTACAACCTGAAATACAAATTAGATTTCAGCACACAGTTCCAAACATGCTGGCTCAAATTATTCCCCCCAGACAGGCTTTGAGCCAGAAAAGTTATGTTTGTTTAAGCTTGGAAACTGACCATCATTTACAACTATGTGTTCAATGTGCTATCATGTTGACTTGTGCATTTTTTAACACACCCATTCAGGAGCTGAAAAATGAAAACAGTCCAATGTTTTTTTACCACCTCTGATACTCCGTCTGCGAATGAGGTTATAAGCAGACTTGACTCAACTTTCTGTAATCACATGTGAGATGCTAAACCACACTGCATTTTAAATACAGAAAGCCCAAATCAAACACTCTAAATGATTGAATGGCTATTAAGTCACTAATTTAAAATATGTTCTCTCTTCCACATAAAATGATTACGCAACCTAGGGCTGGGAACTATATATTATAATATCTATTTCTCTCCCTTTGTACCTCACTTCTTCCTTTCTTCCTTCAAAGATCTGGAGGACCTGCTTGGTAGGAACTCTGTGCTTTGGTTTTAAATCTTATTGAGAAATGTACCGGGCACAAATGGACATCTGTGGTGGGTGCTGTTGTTGTGAAGTGCCATTGAGTCGGTTCCGACCCATAGCGACCCTGTACAGGGTTTTCAAGGAGCAGCTGGTGAGCTTGAACTGCTGACCTTGCAGTTCAAATGGCTTTGCAGTCTGACACATTAACCCACAGCGCCACACCAAGACTACCATCCTTTAAATAAAACAGTTGTGGACAAGCCAATGATCAATACTATTCTCCAGGAGGGCAGGGAAAGAAAACCTTCCAACCCTCCAACCCTGAGAAAACATTTGCATTCTCTTGCTTTCTAAACTGGAAAGGTTCCAGGAGGTTAGTTTTCATGCACAGGAAGACCAGCATCTGCCACTGTTCTCTTATTTATGGATGTAATGTTATAACAAAATAAAAATCTAGCCAGAGCAGGGTGTGCCTTCCATTGCTTTCTCTTCCTTTTTGTTGTTTCATTGGATAAAAGAAAATTTCATCTTCACAGGTGATGCCTGTTTTCACATCTGGCATCTGTAGCAGCTTTGGGAGAGCATTTTCCAGGAAGATCGGGGTTTCCTCAGAGAACTCTGGTCTCTCATCCATCTACCCCACCCTGATGACCACTCTGGCCCTCCTCTCCTCTCTTGGACCCCACAGGTAGACTTGGGGAACAGAGGCCCAGTGATTAGGGGTGCCTGTCCTCGCTTATGTCCACAGTTGGCCAGGTCTTACCTCATAGAAGCCCCGCACGAGCGCCTCTGTCTGCTGCACCACACCGCGCTCCACCCGCCACTTCACCATCCTCTCAATATATTCCTTCTTGTTTTTCTCCGTGACTTGGGTATTGGCTCCTCCAGACTTCAGCTCCCTTTCTGTTACCTGGTAGGAAAATAGAAAGTCCATTCAGCCAGCTTCCCTATGACATGGCCCCCATTTCAGGGGGACAGATTGTATACAAAATCCTCTTTACATCAGCTGAGCATTGACCAGTTGTCTGGTCTACCTAGAGGCACTTCACACAATCTGCTTCTGAGAAATCAGGCATTAAAACTTCATGGGCCCAGGCCTACTCTGCCACACATGGGCCATGATGAGCTGGGGGTCACATGGCAGTAACTGGTTTTTTCATTGTTAGGTATCATGAAGTCGGTTCTGACTTATAGTGATCTCGTATAGAGTTTCTGAGGAGTGGCTGGTGGGTTTGGACCATGGACCATGCGATTAACAGTCCAGTATTGGCTAGTTGTATAATACCAGTTGCTATCCACTATTCAAATTCCTTAGATGCTCTGGTATTTAGCTACTCAGCACTGGACTGCGAACCACAAGGTCGGCCATCCAAACCCACCAGCTGCTCCCTTGGAAGCCCTATACAAGTTTGCTGTGAGTTGGAAACGACTTGATTGGACTTAACAACAACACAGTGCTGCTCAGTTAACTGCCCCTTGCAGTTAGGGATGCCTTGGAAATACATTCTGGTCAATGAGGTGTGAACAGAGTGTTGCATGGCACTGGCCTGAGGTCCCATAGACATGATGGTTGGTATGCCATGCTCATTTGGGCCATGTGTGCAGGGAGTTCATCTTAGGGATGGCAGTGGTAAGAACTACAAGGACATGGGCCCCAAGCATTCCATCAAACAAAGGTCCTAAACCAGCCTAGAACTACCAGCTCCCAGAGTTCTAGCTGAGAAAAAAATAAACTTTGGCTGCTTTCAGCAGAAGTATTTGGGTTTCTTCACTTGCGGTTGAACTTAATTCCAGATAATGCACTCAGGAAAATCCTATAGTTTCTTAATTCTGCATTTGTTCACCATCAAACCCAAGGCCTGTGAAATCATTTGGTCTGTCCCTGCCAAAGACAACCCCAGTTCCAGCCATCATACTGCTGGTGTTGGTGGTTGTGTGCCATGGAGTCAGTTCTAACTCATAGAGACCCTGCACAGGGTCTCTGAGGCTATAAATCTTTAGAGGAACAGAAAGCCTCATCTTTCTCCTCCAGAACAGCTGGTAGTTTTGAACAGCTGACCTTGAGGGTAGCAACCCGACTGGTAACTACTAAACTACAAGAGCTCCTAGCTAACACATTGTTGTTGTTGTTGTTGTTAACTGCCATCGAGTTGATTCCGACCCACAGAGACCCTGTATAGAGTTTCTAGGGAGCAGCTGGTGAGCTTGAACCACTGACTTTGCAGTTCAAACGACTTTGCAGTCTGATGCATTAGCCCACAGTGCCACACCGGGATTCCAGCTATCACATTAGGGGTGAGTTAATGAAATGTTTGATCAAATATAGCAAGCTAACGTTGAAGTCGATAATTTTGTATGGCCTGTGAATGTTACAAATTTTGACAGAAAAAAGGTTCCCCATCTTTGCCAAATGAAGGTGATCAATTTTCTAAAACCACTATCAATATTCCTGATATCCTCCTTGTGAAGAGAAACAGACATACATTATGTTTTATTATTATATTACCTATATTAGTATATTACATATATTATTACCTACTATGTGTATCATAACAAGTACTGGATTGTGGTGGTGGTGGTTGTATGCCGTGGAGTTGGTTCCAATTCACAGTGACCCTGTATAGAGTTTCCGAGGCTACAACTATTTACAGGAGCAGAAAGCCTCATCTTTCCCCTGCTGAGTGAATGGAGATTCGAACTGCTGACCTTGCGGTTTTCAGCCCAACTCGGAAACCACTATGCTACCAGGGATCCTTAAATACTAGATAACATTATGAAAATTGTAATTGAAGAAAACTTAACTGTAGTCATACGGAACTTGTACATGAATCAAGAGGCAGCAGCTGGAACAGAATATGGGCTCAGTCATTGGAAAAGGTGTTGGCAAGGTTGTATCCTTTCACCTTACTTATTTAATGTATATGCTGAGCAAATAACATGTGAAGCTGGACTATATGAAAAATGTGGGATCAGGATTGGAAGAAGGCTCATTAATAACCTTGCTTGCCAAAAGTGAAAAATAAAATCAACTTGAAGCGCTTATCGATGAAGGTCAAAGACAACAGTTTTCAGTATGGATTATACCTGAATATGAAAAAAATGAAAATCCTCAGAACCGGACCAATAAACATCCTGATAAGAGGGAAAAAAATAGCAATTGTCAATGATTTCATTCTACTTCAATCAACAATCGATGCCCAGGGAAGCAGCAGTCAAGAAATCAAATGATATATTGCATTAGAAAAAATGTGCTGCAAAAACCTTTCTAAAGTGTAAAAAACCAAAAAGGACACTTTGATGATTAATGGCTTGAGCCATTGTCTTTTCTTCACTTCATCTGCATGTGGAAGCCAGACAATGCAAAAGGGAGGCAGAAGAATTGATGCATTTGTACTGTGGTGTTGGTGAAGAATATTGAGCTTCGAGAAGAACAAACAATTCAGTCTTCGAAGAAAATACTCAGAATAGTCCTTAGAAATGAGGTTGGTGAAACTTTGGCTTACTTACTTTGGACATACTATCAAGAAAGACCAACTTCTAGAAAAGGACAGCATGTTTCACAAGGTATGTTGTTGTCAAGTGTGGTCGAATCAGTTCCAACTCATAGCAACCTTGCATGGAGCTTCCAAAGAGTGGCTGGTGAGCTTGAACTGCTGACCTTGCCCTTTAAACCAACCTTGCAACCCAGCACATAGGGTTAATTAAAATGAGGGAAATCCTTAATGACAGGCATTAGCCCAATAGCCACAACAATGGACTCAAACATCTTAGTGGTCATGAAGATGGTTCAGGACCTGACAACATTTCTTTCATCTGGAAGATTGCTGAGTCAGAGCCAACTTGAGGTCCAAAAACAACAAATGTCTACACCATATTTATATATCCATCACTGGGAATATCTGGAATGTTCTGAGTTGCTTATTTCCTACAGTATATACAGTATTATGCCTTTGTATTTTTAACATTATTTACCACGAATTTTCTGTATTTAGTTGTCTGTTTTCTTTGCATTTACTTTTTGTTTTGAGTAGGTAACGTGTATGCATAGAATATCATTCAAATGGTATACCAGAAATTCCTGTACTTGATATAAATATATATACACACACACACACAAGAAACAGGAGCCAGGAAAAGAGTAAATCTATACACACTAATGTTCATCCCAGCACTATTCACAATAGCAAACAGATGGCGATGGCCTAAATGCCCATCAGTGGAAGAGCAGAATAACAAATGGTGGTACATACAAACAATGGAATACTGCGCAATGTTGAATAACAATGATGAATCTGTGCAATGCCTCAGCATGGATGAAACTGGATGACATTATGGTGAGTGTAAAAAGACAGTCACAAAAGGACAAATATTGTATGAGACCACTAATGTGAAAACTCAGTAAAATGGTTTCATGCTAAAAGAAATATTCTTTGATGGTTGCCAGGGGTGTAAGGGAAGGAAGAGGAGAGTAATTTACTAGTTAGAGGGTAGATACAGTTACTTCTCACGTGACTGAGAAGGCAATATACAAGAAGAGGGAGGCTGGCAGAAGAATGATGAAGACCAGCGAAGACACAGGGAGGTATATAAGAGTTAAAGGGGATAGAGGTAAATAGTGCTGTGTATACAACCCTGCGACAACAGTGTTCTGTGGGTAGATACACAGACAGATCACAGGCTGAATGGAGGACACCCACAAATGTAAAAGGGTTTGAAAGAGGATGTTTGTGCATGGGTATTTAGCTTTTCTACAAACACATCTACGTATGTGGTGGAATATACAGGGGCAAAATGATGAAAACTTCTTAAACATTATCAAACATTTTAAGGAAATGAGTTCTTGGGCCTGGGAGCTCAGGACCATTGTCCACAACTGGTTTAATTTAGTCCACAAAGACAATGGTCTACATCCTCCTTTGGTGAATAGCATCTGGGATCTAAAAAGCTCATGAGCAGCCATCTAAGGAGTAACTATTGGTCTCTCCATGTGCGACAAAAGAAGAGTGATGAAAACTGAAAATGCTTAGAACCAATTAGTCCAATGGACCAATGGAGCAAGTGAACATCAGTCACTATAACTCAGATCAGTAGAAGTAAATGGTGCCCAGATACCAACTTCTCTGAAAGGGGCCGTGTTAAAAGATCCTGGAGAGAGTGGGAGAAAATGTGGAACAAAATTAAAAGTTGTAAAAGACTGGGCTTACTGGTCAGAAAGAGACTGGAGAAAGCTGAGACTATGGCCCTCCACCACCGTTCAGATCTGGAATGGAACTCACCCTTGTGGGCCAATTTTCAGCCAAACAGTAGATATATATTTAGGGGGGCAACAACAATAGTAAGGTATACTCACCTGGGAATTGTAAATCAGTCGAGACCAAATGGGTAACATTTATCTAAGGACAACATTGAGAATGGATAGAAAGGAGGGGAGAATGGAAATGGAAACCACAGGGAGAAAGTGCATGGAGGGATTGCAGTCATTGAGATGAAACGTGTATTACTTATTGAATGTAAAACTGATGATCTTCTCTGCAAGCCTTCATTTAATTCACAATAAAAAGTTAAAAAAAAAAAAAATCAGGTGGTATAAAAGGCCATAGATGAAAAGGAAGTCTCTCTTGCACCCCATCTCTCAGCCATGCAATCCCTTTTTTTCTGGAGACAATATCCATCACCTCCTTTCCAGGGAGACTCTATGCATGCCCTAAGGAATATGAAGAATATTATATATTATTACCCCCCCCCCACACACACACAGACTTCCAGACAGTATACTGTCTACTTCATTATAC